GCAGCATGATACCGTGGTCCACAGTATCAAAAGCCGCCGAGAGGTCCAAAAGAACTAGGACAGAGGAATATCCCCTGTCCCGGGCCCTCCAGAGATCATTAACCAACGTGACCAATGCCGTGACCAATTTATGAAGTTTAAATCCCATCTTTATTTTTGTGCAAGGAGGCATACATAATATTCCCTCTTCTATTTTCTTCAAATTACCATGTCTGTAAAATTCATAAATACAAATAATCTAATGAATTGGAAAAGCCAGTAGTGTTGTGGTTAAGATACTGGACTAGAAAATTCTCAAGCATGAACGCTCATTGGTTCACTTTTAAACCAGTCATTTTCTCTGAATCTACCTTTCTTCTTATTGTGTGTGTTGTGAAGGGAATTGAATGGGGAATGCTCCCTACATCACTCTGAACTATTAGAGGGAAGACAAGATGTAATCTTAGTTAACTAAGAATGATTTGGAAAAGTAGAAAAAGGATGATTGCATCAAGGAAAGCAGAAGAGGAAATCTGCTGATTGAAAGTGTTGTTATGGTTTTCAGTTTCATAACAATAGTATAATTTTTACTTTTTTATTAATTATTCTATATCTAGCTAGAAGTTGAGAGAGTGGAAAACTGATGTTTGCTCGAATGAAATAGAAGATGCAATTGCAAAGCTTAAAAATATTTGACTAGTATAGATAGTCCTTTGTTAATAACCCTAACTGGAACCAGCAACTCTGTTGTTAAATGAAATGGTTGCTAAGTGGGAAATCATCTGATCGTGATTGTGGTTTCTGGCTGGAAAGAGACAAGTCAGTTTCACATCTTCAGCTTTTGCTTGCCTCCTAACCACTCCCCCAACTCTTAGAATGCTCAAGTTCCTATTTACTGTCTTACACATATTGAAAGCAATACAGTCACGCTGCTTGGAGCTTGGAGCTGTGGGCACATGCTACACAAAGAGTTTACTCTCTTGAAATCCTTTTCTTTTCAATTTTTCTATTCAGGCAGGAGGTCAGGCAAAAGAGAAATGGCCTACAGAAATTGCCTGTTTCCCCATCACAGAATGGAGAGACTGGAGACAAAGATATTTCAAGAGAGTAAGCTTTTTGCTCTTCTGAACATCAAGATAAATGGGATCCTGACAGCAGTAAAAAGAGTCAGGCAAAGGAGATACTGCCTACAGAAATCACATGCTTCTCCCCTGCAATTGGCCAGATGGAAGGGAAAGATTTCAAGAGACTGCTGTAATCTGGCCCACAGTCTTTGAGATCATTTTCACTGTTTAGAAAATTAACAGCTCACTTTCTTGCAAACCTTTTATCTCTAATCTCTGCTCTACAAGGAGTGGGGGGGACATAGGACAGGTCATACTGAATAATGACTGTAATGGTGATGACTTGACTGAGAGATGCTGCAAAATTTGCAAATGGTTATAAATGGTCTGTAAAAGTATTTTTTTTGGCACTGGCATTACTTCAAACACTTGCTGAACATATGATCTGTAAATGAATGCTACCAGTAATCATTATAATCTCTGATACTTTGGGACTTATATACTTTCTGAGATTCAAGGGAAAGTATTTTTTCTTTAATGCAAATATAAGATATAGATAATCCAAACAGAGCATGTTTTGCTCTTAATAAAATGTGACGTTTATTCACATAACTCACAATCTAAAATCCCCTCATTAAATGATTTAAAAAAGGGTATATGAATTTGTCAGGTTTATACCATGAGCTAGAGAATCGTGGGCTCTTTAAGTTTCTGGTGCATGTTTACATTTGCATTTTTTCTCATGCTTTTTTAAAAAAAAAAATACTTTGGCCACTAAAATGTTCCATTGTAAAGTATAAAAAAGCAAAGAAAGTTTCAGAGGGTGAGCAAGCAAGTACCATCTGCATACAAGCTTAACATATAGGATATTATCTTACACTTAAATTGATTTATTCTGGCTTGGTTTTCATTCTTTTCATTCTTTTCATTCTTTTTTATCTTTTTAGTAGAAGATGTGTAATATTCTAAAGTTCATTGAAAAATGGATTGTTGGATGGGGTTTCTGCTTAGTAATTGACTAAAGAATAAGCTGAAATTTTAGTTCCTCTAAAGATTAAGAAACAGTTTTATTGCTTGTTGCTATAAACTGAAATACAATCCTGATCAAATTTAGTAATTTGATGAAACCTAATTTTATTTGTTGGCTCAAGTCATTTGTCATATATTGAAAAGGTAATTCTATTTAACAGACTATTCTTCTCTTCTCTTCTCTTCTCTTCTCTTCTCTTCTCTTCTCTTCTCTTCTCTTCTCTTCTCTTCTCTTGCAATTGGTCTAGAAAACAGCTTGTGGCATTTGTGGTATTGCTGATCATTTGTAAACTGGAATTGCACAGTAAAATTGGTCAAACTATGCAGATCTTTGGACATCTTTAATTTTAGAAAAAAAGGACCTCTTATTTTTAATTTGATATTAACAATGGATCTCATATTGTTTCATGTCTTTTATGAAACTGGTGGCTGAACAGGCTAAACAATTACCGTATTTTTCGCTCTATAAGACGCACTTTTTCACCCCCAAAAGATGGGGGAAAATGTCTGTGCGTCTTATGGAGCGAATGCTGCCTCCCTTCCGCGCTGCCGCCGCCGCCGTAGCCTCCCGAACGCCCCGCTGCGGCCTGCCGCACCCCCCCGCGGCCTCCCAAACGCCC